ACTCCACCGAGGTTTGACTGCCTTTTTTATTGATACTTATGCAACATTAGCTTTTTGTGTCCTTGTCTTATGGATTTTTTTCTTAAAAGTCCAGCTGATGTTGAATCATTAAATTTCATTGCATTTTGTTAATTTGTTAAAAATAATTTTTTACAAACAAAAGTTTGTAAAATTCATTAATTTCTTTTTTAAATTTTTTATTTGCACCCACAAACAGTATTGAAAGTCTTTGCTGAGATATAATGGTCATTTAACCAGCCAGTATGGCAACAACAAGCTTCATGTAAAGTTGCCTCTGCTCATTATTTGCATATGGTTTACCAGTTGTAAACACCTGGTGGCCCAAACTGCATTCACTCTGTCAACTTCTGTAGAACAGAAAACACATTCATTTTTTTTAAGTTTTTACTTTTAAATGGAATAAAATATGTTTTCAGGGTATACAGTGGTAACAGTAGTTATGAAAGCTAGTTTTAACTGCCAAAACAAGCCCAAAGACACTTCAGTCCAGCAGAATTTTATCCATTCAAAATCCAACTGTGGAGCAATTAATTACCATTATCAAGCTAACTTTAATAAACAAGCACTCTGATGTTCTTTATTCTGCATAATACACAGACTGGTATCCTTCAAGTAGTCCGCTGGACATGTCACTTTCCTTTTACTTTTCATTCGATTCTCCACCATCTAGTGCACCGCGTCTTCCCATTGGTGAACTCACTTCATTGTTTCTTTTGTTGTTATTTGATTGCTTCACGTTAATGTTCAAAATCACTAAAAACATTCACAGTAACACAATAAAAAGCAGAATTACGCTGGTATTTCCAGGTAGAGTTAACTAATTTATGTAAGGCAGGAAAGCAGAAAACTAAAAGCACTAAAAGTAGTTGGAACAAGAAAGGGAAAAGTTAATGGAATAACTAAGAAACACAAAGAAGACCGGAGAAAATGTACAAGCCAAAGAAAGAAGGAGAGATGAAAATATTTTTGGACGGTTGGCACTTTTGTTTTTGTAGCAGCAGTGCAGAGGGAGCAACCTCAGTTTATGCCTAATTTAGGCATATACCCTTAAAATATAGGTCAATCTTACAATTGCTTAATATTATATTACAGACACAGTAGTAATTATTGTCTACTAGTATTTATCAGCACCCAGCAGTTAGACTGACTAGGCACTAGTTAAACCAATCCTTGAAGATATTTTGTGGTTCAGTAAACAATCTGCATGGTTTATATGTTCATGTGCAGTATCGATCCATGGCATGTAGTTACATCTGGTCATAGCAGCCATAGTGATTCCTGTTTCCCTCTTTGCCTCTCTTTGTCATGTACTCCTGTTACGTCACAGTTGCCAGGCAACCTCATGAGCAAAACAGAATCCCGCTCTGCTCAGAGGGGGAGGCCCACTACCCTTGATCTGCACGTGCTCTGTCTTTCAGTCATGCATTCACAGCATGTACATATAGACCTCCCCTTTGTTCCCTTCCCATTAGTAACATCAGTAAACATGCACAGCCTGTTACAGCATGCTGCTGGCTGTTTTCGCATGTAGTCCGGGAGTGAGGCGAGCACCTGATATAGGACGAAGGGAGAATATTAAGGAATAAAGCATGACACAGTTTCCCTGTGATAATGTTTGGACTGAAGAGTCCTTTCTGTAAAACCCGAGCGAAATTAAAAAGGCCTTGTGTTGCTTCTGCAAACAAAGCCTCCTAAAAGCAGCAGAGGTGTTTAAAATATACACTATGTACTGCTGGGGGTGCAGGTTATGCCCACTGGATTTTTTCTGGGAAGTATTCCTTTAGGGCTTTTTGGCAGAAGGTATTTCTGACTGAAACACAGAACTAAAGATAAGGCAATATAAAGGGCACCAAAGCAAATATTCATACGAATAAATGTTTGACTGTTTGATTTTCAGTGCAAACTTTTAAGTATCCTGAATATTATAATATACATACATACATACAGTGCATGTCACATTTTTATTTTGTAGTGTGTTTATAATAATTTCTGGTTATATCATTTCTGGTGTTTAGCTATTTATTTTGTATTTTTACCCTGTAATTTAATGTTTAAATGTTTAGATAAAGGAATGTATAAAATATATAAAGAAAATAGAGTACTGACTCACAGTATTGCTATAAGGTGATTATTGACAAAAACTATTATGTTTCAGTGATATTTCACTTGGTTGCAACAGCAGGGAATACATGATGAACATTTGCATTTTTATGTTTGCGAACACGAGACCACATTGGAGTTTTAAATCGATACCACAGGTGCATCTACTGAAAATCTTTGGTAAGTTCAAATCTCAGTGATCTTGACCTCAAGATCAAGGTCCAAAGTCATGTTTTCTGAAAATCTTGTGAACACAATAACTTGAGAAAGAGGTGAAATGTAATTTTCCAGGACTAATTCAAAGCCTGGTGACCTCAAGATCAAGATCAAGATTTGAGGTCAAGTTTTCTGAAATTCATTAGGCGTACCATGTATGCAGTTTAATGATGCATGACTATTACATTATCTACAAAGAAGCTGGGTTTAAACTGTAAAAGCTCTGCTATTTAGAGTCACTGGTTTACTAATCAAATCAGTCTTTTAGCACTGACTCATTCACAAAAATGCAAATACAGACATGAAACAGCTAAATTCCAAAACCAGTAGCCTATGTGTTGCAATCCTACATTACATTTATGTTTTCATCTATGATTTGGTAATTATGCTGCGCTGTAAATTTAGATAAGATAAAAACTACATTTAGCTAAGTAAACATGCATAAATCATATATATATATGTTTAGCTTACGCATGATTCCTCAGTCCTGGCTTTGATGGCAACTCAGACCTGACTTTTGCCTTTCAGGGTCACCAACCATTTTCATACTTGTCAGCCCACCTATACCATCTCACACCAGTATTTGACAGCATTTTTCATACAAACTAGTGGTGACCGAAGCAATCTGCTAGAAACCAAAGCAATAACAGGGAGGTTTTTAGTGACATTACACACACACAAGAATTGTGTGAGAGCATACAGCATACAAATCACATCAGTGACATATTTACAGTGTAACTATTGTTTTGATATAAACAAGTGAATAACATCAAAACACAGCTGTGCTGAGCTGTATTTTTATGTTATTTAACTATACATTTTTACCTCTGTTGTTTGACTTGAGCATTACCCGTGTAGTAAATGTTTAGCACCCTAAAGTCCAAATACTATAGTAATTCCGAGTGCATTCTCTCTCAGTAGTTCACGGTGTCTCCAACTGGCTCAGATGTGAAGCAATGGCTAGAATCCCAAGTGCTTTTATGCTAATCAGAGCTTTGAAGGGTTACAAATTACAACCGTTTTCTAGCCATATTTCATTCAGTTGAGAATCATTTCTAAAAATAAGCTCTTGTTATTCCCTCGGTAAATTAGAGTTAGTCACCCGTGCTTTTATCTCTTCTCTTTTGGAACTACGTGTACTCCAACATCAGTCAAATAAATCCTCTCATTTCTAATTTACACAAAAAGCACAAGCACAGATTCTTCCAGGAGCCAAGATGGATAATATCTCCTTTTGTTTTTTACACTTTTACACTGGAAACCTCCAAGTTTTACCTCGTGCTTTGAGCTTCTGGTAAAGTTTCAGATGGTTCCATCAGTGAAAAGACTTTTTCTCAGCAGACTTTATGAAAGTATGATAGAAAGCAGAGGTGGCTGTACGCCATTCTAGTGGACTAAGTGGAATGCAGCCATCGTTGATGTTACAGAACACACCTGTGCTTTCTAATGTTACTATTAACATTAATAAAATACACATGAAATAAAAACAAGATGCTAAAAAAGGAGTAAACAAATAGAACTGTTTTTTTGTTTTTTGTTTTGCTATACTATGTGTGGCCACTAGAAGAAATAGAAAGCTTTTGGGGTGGCTGTAGCTCAGGTAGTAGAGCGGGTCACCTACTCAAAACAACCTTCGATAAAGTGCTTGTGTGAATGGGTGAATGCATGAGTTGTATTGAGTGCTTTAAGTGCTCAGTGAGAGTAGAAAAGCGCTATCTAAGAACCTGTCCATTTACCATTTACTTTAAGAAGGGCTCATATGCCAGCTCTTTTAATGTTAAAAATGTTTTAAATCACTACCTTGGAGCACATGCAGTTTTACACAAGTACCAATCATAATTTTTAGACTTATGGAACAATAAAATTGCTATGAAAATAGCTTCAAAATCCGGGGTTAGGTCTAAAGTGACCAAAACCCTGTTACAAACATGCTGCAGGTCATAGGGGATGAAAACCACGTTTATAGCAGGTCCAGTGCTGAAGTAGTGAACACTAAGAAGTGGAACTAGTTGATTATCAGCAAGTGAACCATTTAAATAAGACCATGGTGTTGTTCAGTTGTACAAATTGCACTGTCACATCACATGTATCCATTTTAGTAGTTTAATTGTCATCATGCTGAAAATCACAGAGCAAATGATTCTGTATTAAATGGCTATACTAGTATATAATAACAACTGTAATGCGACAAAACAACAAAGCTCAGGTTGGGCAGAGCTTTGCAAACATAATGTTAACAATATGATTCCAGCATTAAAAAATGAGCTGCTTGAGTCTACAGGGACTTTTCTTGTCGTGCACTTACAATGTATTTCCCACGGGAAATGTTCAGAAGACAAAAGGCTCCAAAAATGTATCTGCATCGTTTCAAATTTCCCAGGTCAGCTGTAGAAAAGTAATACATTTGTCACAAATAGGAAACTTTAAAGGCAGACTGGTGGTTTAATTTTGCAGCATTTCCCTCAGCTGTCCGCCCCTCACTTTTATAAATCGTTTTTTGTTCATACTTGTTGCTTCTTTCCCTCCTCCCATTCATTTCTCCGTTGTGCCTGCTAACATGAGGCTATCTACATATTTCATATCGAATCAGAGAAGCCTGATGATCAACTCAATAAATTTGTTTCTCTTTTCTCTCTTTTTCCTCTCCCTCTCTCTTTCTCCAGGACAAAAAAGGGATTTTTGATGTGGACATGCTGAGAAAACTTGTGCCATCTTCCGGTGATCAGGATCAGTTAGCAGCCTTTGTGGACAGACTTCCCATTGGTCTCATTGCTTCAGGGGCTGAACTGGATCGAGTAGACTAAAATCCTATGCTATTTTATTTTGTGATTCAAAGGGACAAATTAAATATCCAGGGAGGGAAATATAAACATCGTCTTCCCTCCCCCACTGTTCATGTGGCCTCAGTTTTTTCAGCTTGCCCTCCTATGGTTCTCGTAAAGTAGGAGCGATGACATCCCAAAACCTCTTCTTCTCAGTCTTTTTACACAACGTGACCGAAGGATAGCCATCAGTTCCCACTGCAGCACTCGTGGACTGACACCAAGAGCTCAGCCCCTGGCTTCAGGCAGCATGGGAGACAGTAGCTGGGTGTGTCTGAGCCCGGCTGAGTTTAGCCAGCTGCAGCAGTACAGTGAATGTGAGTACCCATGTGACTTTGTCCGGAGATTTGTTTGCATGGCAGATTTAGGTACATATAATGAGGTTTGTCTGCATGTGTCTCCATTTGTGTATAGCACATTCATGTATGCATTAGATGTTACTCAAAAGCTTTGTTTTCCAATCCAAATCATGCAATCCTCCAGCAGCCTAAGCCTATTTTTAATTAGATAATTAGATGTTTATTTATGATAATGTGCACAACATTTCAAATTATGTATATTTACAGTTAAGTGATGTATCCATGCATGCGTTTAAATACTGCCTCCAGTGGTGAGAAAAGGGGTACTGGTTCTGTTTTAGCTAGAATTGCAAAGCCACTTTGGGGCTATGTCAAGAAGAGCATCTGTTGTAAAAATCTGCCACATAAAACATGTAGACCAGCCTGCTGTGGTGACCCCTCGTGGCAAGGAAGCAGCTGACATTGGGATCAGTATTTTATAGACATATATATGTCATATTTATACATAAAGCAATCGGAGGGATCCAAACACTGGCCCTTCAACCTGCTTGATTTGTATCGGATGACTCGTTGCCACTTATTAGCCTGCTAATAAGCCCTGTGGCTATCTCTTCCCTCACTGTCAGCTGCATTTGTTAGTCAAAGGAGCATCTGTCTTCTTGCTCCTGCTGGATTGTGCGTGTCATTGTGAGTGATGAACAGAGTGTGATTCTCTCACGGAAGCTATTCCACCGAGGAATTACACAATCATGCATAAGTCATTGTCTTATAGACCCACACGAACAGCATGCAACATGTAAGATTCACCGGCTGATTGCAGAGCCATTAACCCCAATCTTTTCATGGTGATAATAGTAGGTGTTCCCCTAAAGATGATAGAAAAGTCATGCATAGGACTATTTTACTGTGTATGCTCTGATTTAAAGCTGTCACTGATGTTGTCATTGGAGTGGTATTAGGACTGTTTGAATCTCTATGGTCTCCAAATACTGTATTATTAATTTAATATACAGCTGTACCTAAAACAGTGATGCACAAAGTGGCGTTTCTCAGTTTCAACAGGTGCACTAGAGGGGCAACAAGGAGACAACCCCCAAAACATAAATGGTTTTACAGGTGGAGCCCACTGACATTTTTCACTCCCTATCATTTTTGGCTGTTTTTTCCCCCATTAGTTTTGCATTTACTGTACCTAGGGTCAGTGTCACTACTGGTAGCATGAGGCGGTACCTGGACACCACCCAGGTTAGTAGTCCAACCTCTCCTAGATGGCACATCAGTATCTTTCATTGGCAGAAAGTTGGCTGTGTCTCCCAGCACAGCCTCAAAAGCATGGAGGAGATTCTAGGAGAGGCGGTTACTCTAGGAGAGCTAGAGTAGCTGAGCTGTAGAAGGTCCTCATCTATCACGTTACTGATATCTGCTCTTTTGTGCAAAGAGGAATAGGATGAGCACTTCCAGAGCAACAAAATTACCTCCAGCAGGCCACTGGTGTGAATATTTTAGACCAAAAAATCAGAAACTGACTTCATGAGGGCCTAATGTCCTCTTGTGGGCCCTGTGCTCACTGCCTTGTGTCGCATTCGCCACAGAATACCGAATTGGCACGTCCACCACTGATGCCATGTGCTTTTCACTGATGATTCACTCTGAGCACGTATGACAGACATAAAAGTTTCTGGAGAAGCCGTGGAGGAGGTTATGCTGCTGGTAACATGATGGCCTGCGGAGACATATCCATGGAAGAATGCAAAGATCTCTACAGCACAGGCAATGCCACCCTGGTATATGGCTGAAATCCTTGAACTCATTATTGCTGCTTTTTAACTAAATACAGGGAGTGCAGAATTATTAGGCAAATGAGTATTTTGTCCACATCATCCTCTTCATGCATGTTGTCTTACTCCAAGCTGTATAGGCTTG